ATCGAATTTCCAAGTTTCTTGTAAATTCGATTTTCTAGAATCTAGAAAATCCTCAGGGAATTTATATATGGACTTTTTGAAAATCGCCGAGCATTTTCTATAAATAATTCCCGACATTACAGTGTAAAGTAGAAACTGTCAAAGTTGATTTATGTGTAATATGAATGTCTTTACGTGACGCTCTTATACCTACATTGATTGCAAAATAAAAAGATGAATAAGTATTTGGTATAGAAATTTCTGGACGAATTTCCACTTTCTAGAAAATCGCCGTGGATTTTCTTGTTTATAGCAAATCAAAATCGAATTTTCAGATTCTTGGAAATTATTTATAGAAATTCGATTGATTTTCTATAAACTAGAAGATAGCCGGCGATTTTTCCAGTTTATAGAAAATCTTCAGAGATTCTCCACCTTTATAGAAAATTGAATTTATGGAAATTCAAGTCGATTTTCTATAACGTAGAAAATTAACAGGTGTTTCCTAGAAAGCTGGAAATTCGTCGAGGAATTTCTATGAACTAGAAAATCCCCGGTGATATTTTGGTCAATTTTCAATAAACTGGAAATTAATTCAAGATTACAGTGATAGCGATGTATTGTAACGGCAGAAGCCCATCAGATACAATCGTGCAATGAATTAACATTTCAGTCAAATTTTAACTGAACTTTGAAATTCGCTTCAAACATTTGGAAAAAAGAGTAATTGATATCTTGTTTAGTAAATCCTTGAGAACTCAGTAAACTGTGATTTCATTCAAAGAAAGCTTATATTTCTGTATTACCTTTATAGTAATCACTAGCGTGACGAACACTTTAGTTTACACAACGTCAAGAATCATAAATATTTAACGGATCATTCATTTACATAGTACGAGAGAGGGACACCTTAGCAATATGTTATTTTCCTGCAAAGTGGCTTTTTAGCTTAGATAAAATAAACATTATTAAAAATAGAAACATCATCTCACATGAAACGAAAATAAAACCAAAAAACAGTAACAACGATGCTTATATTGTGGCTAACAGTCTCGATGGTATTAACCTATAATGTTTGCAGTCATACATCAAATTTGCAGGAGTCACAGGCGAATTCACCACAAGAAATATTTCAAGATCAAAATGCAGAGTAAGAGAAAGATTATTTATATGAATAAGAGAGAATACTTCGACTTTTGTTTATAGGCATTTAGGTGAACATCTAAAAGACTTTGGAGGAAAAAACGTGACCGATATGTCATCGGATGAACAATCATTCTACTATTTTAAATTGCATGATGTTAATAATGACAATGTTCTGGATGGATTAGAATTATTGTGGTTATTACGAGACTTTACCAAACCCCACGCGAATGACACCGATGCAGAAAACAATGCTAATTCACATGAAATGAACTCAAGAACAATTGAAGAATTAACGAGATTAACAGACAAAACTCTTTCACTTCTCGATTTTAATGGTGATGGCGCTGTATCGTACTCCGAAGTTAGACAACAGACTAAGGAGACAACGTGATTATTGAACGATTGATTTAAATCGACTCAACGTTATATTAGAAGATCTAAAAATGCTCAGATCTTCATTCTCTTCTTCACTGAACATTATTCTCTTAGATTAAAACTATCTGGAATATGGAGAGGCAAACATTCAAATTTTCTTTGTCATTTTTTAACACTACGATTTATACCACCGAATTATCAACCTTTTTTTCATGTTTTCTTCAGAATACGTGATCATACACTACATATCAATCCATTGGCGAGACAACTATATACTATAGAAGTATAAATTATCACTCCTTAGCCCTTTTACACAAATAAGGCTATTATTTTGAGTTCACTAGCACAAAGAGTGTTTTGTGCAAAATCACTCTTACAGAAGATATTTTGAGAAGTTTCGTCGTCGTCATTTATTGCAAATCTTCACAAAATTAACTGCATACCATATAAATATCACGGCCTCTTTTCTATATAATAGATGATGCGTGTGTGTGCGTCGGCATGTACTTCAAACCAAGATACCTTAAAAATATTCTTTTTTTTTGTTTTTAAAAACTCACACCGTGTAGTGAATATATTGAAAGTAAAAAAATAATTTTTATTATTATTATTACACAATGCAGACAGGTGTCACACCTGATGTTTCAACTCTAACTACAAAAGATCAAAGTAGTAATAACTCAACTTCACTTGAGAAATCCAGTTTAGAAACAAAAGAGCCCAATATAAATAATCAGTCATTTCAAGGTAAGTCATAGAAATTTAGAAAATAACTCCAATATTTACTGGAAAAATAGAGTTGCAATCAGTAAGAAGAGCGACCAAAAAATAAAATTTTCTATATTAAGAGAACTATCGTTAATTCAGCACCATTTGTATACGAACTTACTCGGAGTTGATCGATTTCTCTAACTAAATAATTGGTTGAGTGAAATCTCTATCTTCTGCTAGACGAGAATTAATGAGAGATAATATGCATTTACTATCAGGTTAACAAATTTTAAATTATTTAAGGTAAAGCTGGTCGTATTGCTAAGTTTTTTTCTTTTATCAAACACGACACAAAAACTAATGAACAGCAACAGCAACAACAGCAGCCGCAGCAGGAACAGCAACCATCAACAGCAACAAAATGGTATAACAGAAATGAATTTGAAACTGAAAAATTACCAATTTTGTGGACAGAAAATAAACCTATTATAGAAAATAAACCTATCATAGAAAATAAACCTATCATAGAAAATAAATCTATCACCGCAAATAGTGTTACTTTATCAACAAAACCATCTTTGGGAGATCAGGAACAGATTTCTTCGTTGCATGCTGTACCAAGCTATAGTTTAAGGTCTACAGCCATTTATAGTCCGCCACAGAGTGATACGATTCGTCATAGTAGAGTACCATCATCTCGCAAGAATGATAGTCCAACAAATGTTAAATATTACAATACTAATCATAATATTTCGGTAAGTGTGCATATAATCATCATCAAGAAGAGCAAATGAAAGCAGTTCTTTCCTTCTCTTTAGAATGATATCAAGAATAATATTCCAATTAGAAGGCATACCAATTCGACAATGTATGATATTAATAGCGTTTTATCTCAGAAGTCTTAGCTCATGATGATTATAAAATTAATAACTATAATCCGATTTCTAGTAAACATGAAGAGCATTCATCACAAACAACAATGGTATCAAGAGGGCTTCAAACAGATTTAAATTCGTTTCCCACTGATCAACACGTGCGAAACCGATCAAATGAAAATATGTTTAATATGACACCGAGTAATGTCTATTATTATGGTATGCAACCTACGTCAAAGGTAAGATTTATCTAATCTGCTTTGTCGTTCAATTAAGTATGATTTAACTCAAATCTAGAAAGTACGCTTTTCTGAAAGACCAATAGAAACAAAAATAAGGCCTCTATTCTATCATATGCCGCTGCCACCAACAACGTTAAATCCTTACATGCCACAAGGCGGACATTATTTATATCCGTCTTATCAACCGTATGAAATTCCCCAAGTATCTGTTCTGCCACCTATAGAGACAACTCCACTTTGGACAAATGCTGGTTACAAGCGGACATTCGATGAACAAATGCCTCAAAGATTTTCGGCTGCTCCAATTATGCAACAGCAACCGTTAAGATCAAACTTGCCACAGTCATATTATTATTCGTATCCAAATAGTTTGTATCAACGACCTCAAACACTGTCACCATCACAATTTAATGATCCACACAGATATACCATGTCAGACAATAATCTGCACTATTTTTCACCTGAACTTCATCAAACTGCTTTGAAAGGATTAGAAACAAATCAGAGAACCACAGTCCGTGTAAGTTTTTCAATGTTTTAGTTTTTTCATTAGTTGTCCTATGAAGATGATACAAATAAACGTTTGTATAGAAATGAATCTTTTTCTTTTCGTTTTTTATAAATTCGAACGCGATATATTTTCTCATTCATCATCCTCTTTTACCATTCTCTTTCTCTCGGTCTTTCTCACGTAGAAGTCTCAAGTCAAATCAACGAAAAGATTTTCCAAGTCAGTCAAGTGAAGTCAGAAGACTCAAAAAATATTTCTTAAGTCTTGCCTAGCTCTGTCTCTACATGTCTTCGTTAATAAATAAATCTAACAAATGCTAAGTTTCTGGAAAATTCGAATTTCTAGAAAAACAGAAAATCACAAATAGACACTCTTTAGAAAATCGAACTTTTGTTTTCCATTTTATGATGTATGTTTTATTCTAGCCATCAATGAAAATGATCCCATCAACAAATAATTTTTTCCCGTTTAATGCTGATTTAATGCCATCGTCATCATCACGTGCTAGTGAAAGTCTCATGCGAAGTGCTTACTTGTTTAATAAAACTTAAAATGTTTATATACGACAATTTGTTTTCTTTAAAGTAAGAAAAATGAAATGAAATATAAAATATTTTGAAAAATACATCGATTCTATTGTTTCTTTTAGAGAAAACATAACAGAATATTTACACAAAAAAGTCAAATCCAGACGCATAGTAACATTGGCTACCATTTGTCGTATCCGAATGTAGAGGAACAGTTTGTGGTGAATCCATAATTGAAAACGTCTGATATTGATCAGTATTATGCGTTTGATGATTTGAGACAGAATACATTCGCCAATAATTTTCGACATTTGTTGCTGTTGTTGACGATGATTTTGTATCATAGTCTGCATAAGGTGAACTAACATAGTGAAATGAATTTCGGAATCCAGCAGTAGTTGTATTAGCGTAAAATGCTGGATACAATGATGCATAAGCAGCAGCCATATTAGACGGAGGCAATGTTTGTCTATCATGAATATTATCTCGTAATGATGGTGATAATGATGGATTTGGTTTCATTTTGTAGGATGTATTAAAAGTTGAATTGGTTTTATCGATGGTTATTGGTACCTTATTTTCATTTATTTTTGATGTAATGGATAAATTACCACTTCTAATAGGATATGATACTAATGGATCACAAACAAACCGATAGACATATCTTTCACCAGAAACTTTTTGCATTATTCCCTTTTCGTAATAGTAACGAAGTGATCGAGATAATTTATCATAATTCATTGATGGGCGATTTTTTTGCACACCCCATAAACGAGCGACCTAGGATAAGAGTAGCAAATAAAAAAATAGAGAGTAACGAAAAAGAAAAACATAATTGAATATGAACCTTTTCCGGATCAACTAATTTAAATTCTAAACCCTTTCCCGTCCATGATATAATTGTACCACTCACACCATCTTCTAATAATGCCAATAAAAATTGCCAAAGTTGAACAGATCCTCGACGAGAATAAAATTGATTTGAATCACGTGTATTCAAACGGTGATCTTTTAACATATATAAAATTCATTTAGTAATTGATTTTAGAGAAAATAAAAGTTTCTACTAACTGTGAGTCTTAATTATTTTATTATTTAACGATTTTGGCATTATTGTAAAGATAGACAAACATAACCACGCTGAAAATAAAAAATAAAGCTGTTTTTTGATCATCCATAGTAATAAAAATGTACAGAAACATATTCTGTTAGATTATTTCATTTGAAAATAACAGGAGATCTATTTTATTTTCTCCTTTCAAACGTTGGATCTCGTTAATGAATGTCTTGCTAAACGAATATTCTATTATGACATATCAAATTGCCTTCTTTCTTTTAAACTCGTAATTTCATCAATACAGTAAGAAACTGTAACAATATGAGTATTAGAAACAAAACTATTTTAAGTTATCTTGAAAACTAAGTCAGAATATATATTTTGCACTTATTTTAATTATAATGTATCTCATTGTTAACGATGTATCATGTGAAGTGCAATAGTCAATTAAAAATTTAATTTTTCTGATTTTTGAAGGTGAGAAAAAGAAAGAAAAAAGATTCTCATTAGTATGAGTAACTAGAATATACTGTCATCATCATTTTCTTTTTTTGACTAAGAAACGTCACATTTCATGTTTCAATGAATAAGATATGATACGACAAAAGTTTTATATTACATGAAAAATTTAGACCACCTACATTTTCTTTATTCTCTACTGATGTGATAATTAAGAAGAAAAACTAGAATATTATACTAATAGAACGTGCTTAAAAGATAACATAACTATTTGTCATATACGACAATCAGATGTTGATAATGGTCTTTATCAGTTCACAAATCAAATCGGTATAGACTACTTCCAATTTTGAGCGTACTTGTTCGATATTATAATAAACTAAATCCTATGTTAAATAGGAGAAGATGATGGTATCACCAAGCATTTTTAACATTCGAAATCAGGTACAAATTATAACTAAAGAGATTATACATGAAACAAATAATGTTTTAATAATAATTGTTGATAATGAATCATCGAATATCAGACAATTCTACCAGAATATGTTCGAAAGTTATATACAGGACATATATATTCGGCTTATAATGAGAACTTCAATCGTTTTTTGTTCTCACGTGCAATAATCAATCATATGTCTCTGAAAGAAACAGATCATCATCATCATCAGTTGTATTTAGAAAAAAGTGCATTATCGGAAGCTTTTTGTCTAATTAACAAAATAGAATATAAAATTAAACAATCTACAAATTTGTGCATAAAGAAAACAGAAATCTGCCTAGATCTGCTTCAAACAAATATTTTGAAACAAATTTGTTTACATATAAAAGAGTATGCAAATAAGAAAAAACTAAAACTGTAGAGATATTCAAATAGGATAACTCATTTATCATGATCTAAATGAATTATATCATTTTTCTAACTGTACCAATCAATCGAAAAGTAACTTTTCTCTTTAAAAATGATTTTTATATACAGGAAGTTCTAAATAACGGACGATGAATATGTTAATGCTAACATCGACAATATATACATTCAAACGCTAGTTAATGTTTTTTATCAAACACGCTGCTAAGACTGCGCATGTGATATTTATTCTTGTCCTAACTAAACAAGTTTGAACAAGCATGAATCTGAAACAATAAGTAATAAGAGGAAAAAAAATAAATTTTTTGTGATTATTTAAACGAGTAGTCAATTGTAAGACGAAATTTTACGAATAGTTCTTACTCTTGGCAATATTGTTTCACAAAGATCAAAAGAACTTATTTTCGCTTTCATTACGTTCCGTTTCACCATCATGATAACTAAGTCAAATATTCAGTGCAAAAACAAGTCATGATTTAGTTTTTTGTTAGAAAAACTACTTAAATTCATTAGCTCCAAGCAAATTGCTTACACCTTATTGTCAATTTTCTCTAATACTAATCCACACTGACCTTTCTTTTGAGTTCAAATATCAAAGGAGAACCAAAGCTACTAGGAACATTTTTCACAAGTACAGTTTTGTAAGGATACATGAGGCGTGTACTGTAGAACTTAGATATCGATTAGTCATAAACTATATGTTTCAAACAATCCTGCTTGCTTACTTGTCTACTTGTATATTGAGTTTTTGAACAATATTGTCCGGAACAACGTTTTTCTTTTTTGTTTCAACCGTGAAATGGATCAATCTATAACTTGATTTATAATTAAAAGTATGAGGGAAAAATTTTATTTGATATTCAAAACGACTTTGATTTCACTACATAAGACATGAAGTACTCTTTAACAAGTGTGTATGTATTTCGATTTTATATTATTAATCATCAGCTTAACTAATAATTATATGAACTATTTTCTTGTGTTAATCAGATTAATTGAGCCAAGAAAAAAAAGAGAAAGGCAGATGTACTTTTTCGATTTTATCGTCATATATATATATATATATATATAATATATATAGCATCTCTCTCCCTATATATATATATATGCCTATGTAGTAGAATTTATATTTCTTTTCTCTTGCGAAGATCAATCTCGTTCCAGAAAAGAAATAGGATAGTTTTTCAACAGAAAAGTACAAATAGAAAAATACTCACGTTGAATTATTATCAACCAATAGAGTTACGTAGTGCAATGTATGTTCACTATCTCATAGGTCAGTCGATGTGCAAGAATTGTGAAAAAATATTTTTATTTTACAATGTGAAAGATTTTCAATGTACTTGATTATTAAAAAAGCCACAACTAACATTATATCGAAAGCATAGAGTAATATAAAGTTTGACACTGAAAGTCAGCCAGTTTTGACACTAATGGAGTATAAAACTTGAATAAAATAGTTGAGATCTTGCATATCTCTCTGTTTTGCGATAGCTCGTCTTGATAATAAACTCAGAATTTTGACTACTCAGTCAAAAACTTTCGGTACCTGAATACGCGTCGAACGGCGGCACATCCGGAATTTCATACAATGTGTCCGTAGTTTGCCAATCGCAAAAAACATGAACTGAACTGAACTGAATTTTTATTTTTGCAAGCATGGTTGTTGCAAAGAAAGGCTAGCTTATGCTAATGCAAGCGCACATACTGACAGGTTTTAAGAAACAGCCAATCACGCCAGTGAGAAGAGTCATAAAAAGTCAAATTCTTTCCCCGCTGAAAGCGTCCTCATTCGACTCTCCAAACAAAATAACGTGTAAATCCAAATTTGTAGCTTTCGGCGTCTTTTTACTGCAGAGTTAAAATGTTTTTTTCAAAGGAATCCAAAAATTTTTCAAAAGCACATGTCTCTTACAACTTTTCAGTATTTTGACTATAACTCAAAAACGACCTGTGCAAATTTTTTTGAGCAATAACTGGTTCCAAAGAGAATCAAAAACGGAACAAAATGATATACAAAGAGATGCTGGCCATGTTTCCATGATGTTCTGTCAAAAAGTGCCATAGAAAATACGATACAGATCGAGATTCAGCATTAAAGCAAAAATTTTCGATGAATTTATATACGTAATGTTAAAAAGCCTGTAACTCGGTCGTCCAAGATCGTAGAAACTTGCCAGCATGTCATTGTGTAGAGAATTGAAGGAGCTATCCAATGATGTGACTGAACAACTTCTAAAAGAAGTTTGAAGGTCACTAAGTTTTCTAGAAGGTCACCGAGTTTTTCAAAAGTCTCTGTCTTAAGACCCGAGGTGTAGCATAATTTTTTTCTGCCGAAATATATAGAATTCGACGCGCTCTTTCATTTGATACCAAGTTCAAGGTTCTACATTAGAGAATGTGACTAGCAGACGTTCTACAAGTTAGGCCAAATTCGCTGGAAAGTGACGAAAATGCATTTTTCCGCTGCGAGGGTAAAACGGCTATAACGTTTTTTCTAACAAGGGTAGAGACTTGCGGTTTTCACCCTTCGGTTCAGCTCCGTGAGCTCTACAATATGAGGGAGGTCTCGTCACTAATGTCAAGGGTTGCTGTAAATGAATAAAAACTCATGCTTTTTAAAATCACGGTTGTAAGGGTAGTGAGATAAAGTATTTTGCATTGTTGATCACGTGTTGCAATTTTTTTCCAAACCTTTATGCTCATTTTATAGAGAATTTTCAGCTCTACAAAAGAATAAAACTTATTTTCTGGTCCCATGTAAAAGAAAACGTCTATGACTTATTTATTTATTTATTTAACGCGGAACCGCTTACGCTCATAGCGTCTCGGTACAAGTAGAGAAAAACAAATAAAAAATTTAGTAAACATATTGACAAGACAGATTAGTAAACAGTAAAAACAGTATAAATAGAAAGAAAAAACACATAATTTAAGAATTTAAAATACTAAACATGAGGATATACATTTAATATAATCGATGACCCAATTTAACTACTTTCTTTTGGTTTAAGCTTTAATCTTGAACCAGAACGAAATCGAGAATATAAATTCCCATTACATCATTCTGAAACTTAAACTGTCAAAACACAAAATTAATAAACAGTGAAAAAAGGACGATATCTGGCAATGCATCCATACACTTATGAACATAGTGAAACAGCACTTCAGAAAATGTGTGTACATTCTGTTTTCGAATATTTACAAGATTATTTATTAAATTAAAACCATGAAAACGAGAAAAATTGTGGATTAGGTACTGTTGAAAGACTTTACGTTTCTCAAAGAAGGAAAAAACCGATACGACATGAGGAAGAAATTGCAGAGAAAAGAAAAATTTAAGAAGCATTATATGCGCTAAATCCTTCCAATGAGGCAATTGTAGGATATCTAGCATGGATTTTAGTGATATAAATGGAAAGTAAATTAGTATTTTTAATGATTGAAATTGGATGGAATCTAATTCGTGACAACTAGTGGCCGAAAGCAAAGGCGTCAAAACGAACTAATATCGAACCACATCGAACAACCGGGCCGAAAACCTGTTTGTTCTTCTGGGATAATCCCGGCTTTTTTAATCCAATTTTCGAAGTGAGGTAATAAAAGACGCTCAAATAATTTACTTAGATTGGGAAGA